GTCTTGAACACCGCCACCGACGATGCCGCCGGTCGCCTGAAGTATTGCGTGTTGAGTTTCTCGCGAGTGATTGACATCGACGCATCTGCCGCCAAGCAAGTCAAGACCTCCGTGTCTCGGCCCCGTCAAAGCCCTGGGGAAGTTCCCGATTTGTTTCTTGGAGTCCTCCTATGTCATGTCCTGATACATTCCGGCTTACTAGAGACGTAGTTTCTGGCTGTTTGGCCCCGGGCAGGTGGAGAAGGCCTTCCGCAGTGGCGTCCATGTCTTCTTCAGCCGAATGTCGCCAGACGTCTTCCAGGAGTTACCCAGCTCGACAAACTTGCAACGCCTCGCAAGAACTTCTTTACAAATGTCACACCGCCTGTCAGTGTCACAACGTATGTCCGGCACACCCCCCCCACCCCTGCAACCCGACATCTGCAGCTTCTTGGGGCATGCTTCTTAGTTTCGTGTCGTGGAAACCCTGTTCTGTTGCAATGTTGTCACCGATTGGCATGCATGTTGTGATGATGCTGCTGCTGCTGCTGCCGCTGATGATGATGATGATGGTGGTGCTGCTGATGTTGTTTCGGTTGTTGGTGATGATGGCGGTGCTGCTCGTTGATGGCGATAGTGTTGTTGGTGATCGCACTATGATGATCGTCAATTTGTGACGAGGGCGGTCATGACCATGATGACACTCACAGTTTCCCCAATGCCGAGAAGTCGTGGTATTTGCTTGTGGACGATGGGAGACGACGACCACATCGATGACGCCGACGACCAGTGCCAGTCACCAGAAGATACTTTTTACTGTATCATATATACAGTAACTACTATCATACGACGACCACCACGACGACTACTTCTACTACTGCTTCTTTTCTGCGCCGACGACAACGACGAGCACTGCCTGCTACTACTACTACTACTACTACTACTACTACTACTGCTACTACTACTACTACTACTACTACTACTCCTACTTGACAGTACCCCTGAGGAGCTCTCCATGGCTGGAGCAATCAAGTCACCGGACCCCGCCCTGCGCCAGGCTGACCAAAGTTTGCTGAAGGTTTAGGGTTTAGGGTTTAGGGTTTCTGGTGTGGCGTTTAATGGCTGAGTTAGTATTGGTATTCGCAGTGGTGGTATAGAGATCATAATGCCAGCTGTAGCTGCTTGTCCGTGGCTCGTACAGCCTCTCTTTTCTTGGCTTTTCAGGGGGGTGCTTCGTGTTGTTGGGTTGAGGTTGGCTGCGGAGAAAGAACTTCGGAGAGTGTTGCGACATGTCTATTGTTGCAGGTTGAGGACGGAGGGCAAGTACATGTCGGTATGGCATGTAAGCTATCCGGAAGCCTCAAAACGCAGAATTCCCACTGGCAGAGGTCCTCCAAGACCGCGGCGTAGACATTGCCACCGAAGAGCTTAAGATGTTTGAAGATTTCGAGACGGACTTGGATGCCGAGTCCTGCCAGGGAACCAGTGGACGGCGCCCGGACACAAAAGTTTTTGATTCTTCCGGTGCTGAAGTTTTGCCATGTTTTGTGTAGAAACCTCTGTGAGGCTGCACCGACGGATGACATGCAACTTCCGCCCGTTGGGCGCGGGTGCATTTGATGCGTTCGACACCGAGTCTGATGCCTTGGCAACTGGGCTTTCGCTCGGCGATTGTTAAGGGAAATCAACTGAGAATTGTTATACTCATATTAGTATAAAATACTATATTATATTCTACCACGATACTACATCGGAGTTGCTTGCTTTTGCTTTTTCTTTACCTGGTCTCCCGTTATGATGAGGGACTCGCCATGACTGCTGTCAAGTATTCTTCTGTTGGCACCAGAACGGCTAATGCAAAGCGTGGCGTGGACACCAAAAATCCGAAGCCGACTAACGAGCCTGAAATGTAGGTTTCAGGCCCCATCGGTTGCTGTCAGCCAGCTTAGCTTGATCCCAAGGACTATTGCAACGATTTGCTGCTGGGAGAGTGCTTCGGCTGCAAGATGGGACTGTTATAAGGATCTGAACCATCAGTAATAGTGATATTCCCTTATTATGGCCTCTATAGAAGTAACCATATCATACTGTCAGGCTCAGCTTGTACAGTACGAGATAAGAGCACATGTTGAGATGTCATTTATAATGTATGCATGAGGAACAGACCTAGATTCGAAAACTGGGATCATACCTGATCGGGTTCTCTGGCCGACTCCTCAGGTACTGCTACAATGCTCATGTTGAGGAGTACAAGAGCGCCTATAGACGAGCTTGTCAGCAAGGACAGCGGTTCAACACGAAGCGTCAGGTTGCAGGGGCAGTGTGAAGCGGTGTTTCTTTGACTACCTCAGGTCGTTTACTACAGGTTGCCCTCATCCTGAGTGCCTCCAACATAGTACAAATTGTGTAGTATGATATAACATATTAGGATGTAAAAAAACACAATGTAATGAAATAACCCGAAGGCGAGCGTCTTTCCGAGCAAGCTTTTGAAGACATGAACTTCGTCCCTCGCGGCACGCTGGCGAGGCTCCAGCCACTATGCCGAGTTCGTAATGGGCTGCCCCATTATACGAGCCTTTCGCACGACCAAGAGCCCACGTTGTACTTGATCTTGCGGGGCGCCATCGCCCAGCTTGAGCAGATCGGGGAGGACATCACGGTCGCCAGAAGTGGCAAGCTTCACGCCGAGGTGAAGGGCTTCACTGGTAGAGGCAACAAGCGCTTGAGAGCTCGGTACCCCCCGGGGCATATCGTGGGAAAGACTTCCTTCTTTCTGCACGGTGAGGACGGTCTTGTAGATCAAAAGGTGCTGCCCATGCTGCAGGTATCATCGCGCATGTCCGGGTATGCAGAGGTCTGGGAGCTAAGCCGCTCTTCTTGGGATAAAATGCCCGAAGACCTCAAGAGCATCATGGAGGGGCTTATGTTGTTTCAGCTGGCGGATGATCGGCAGCACTCGCTTCTAATTGAGTGAGCGGTTTCGCAGCAGATGCTCTGCTGCTGCAGCTTCATGGTTAACGACCTCTATGTGCAAGGTGAGAAAAGACGAGTCAGACTGCATCTGTGACAAAGCCAAAGAAACCCAGCCACCTGCAAAGGCCGCCAGTCATGAGCTCTGGGAGGAAGAGAGAGAGAGAGAGAGAGAGAGAGAGAGAGTGAGAGAGGGAGAGAGA